ACATTTTCCCTGTATTAAATAAACAACATTTATTTAATAAACCGCGGCATTAACAAAGGATGCTAATAATAATATATTATCGATGATCATTAATTGTCATAGCTTAAGATAGAAAGCATGACATACACTATGTTTTGCGATTTACCAATACATTCTTTGAACCCACGTACAAAATGCATTAGACAAGAGATGTACGAGTTTCGTAATCTCCTCTCATTGTGATGCTACGGGTCATATCACAGCGAAAGCAAAATTGTCCAATGAAATTTATTTTTGCATATTTTGACCTCGAATTTTTTTGCAAAAAAGTCTAACCTCGTTTAATAACACAGTAATTATAACCATTTTTATAAAAAGATAATTAATTTATTGTATTTATTGTTTAATTACTTATTTAACATGTTTGTATTTATGTATATACACTTGTTTCTAAAGTTTTCATACCGCGCCCCCCGTTGTTACAAAAAAAAAAATGTTGCGACCCTGTAATTTTTTTTTACAATTTAATTTCAAAAATACTCAACTGATATAATGATATAAATATCACATTATAAATTAATATGAAATGTTATGTAAAAATATACATAAAAGTAATTAGCTATCCTTACATTTTTTATATCATTCCATCATTTTGGTTAATTTCCGAAAATTGTATTGTTTTTGTTTTTAATCGACATCTAGTAAATTTGAAGATAAGATTGTTAAATCACATATGATAACTAAATGACAATAGTAGAAATAGTCAGTGTTACTTCAAATACAAAATACATTTGAGTTTTTAACTTCCCGTAGGGTAAGTTATTGTAATGGGCCGAAAATCGGAATTGAAAATTTTTACATTTCTCGACGTTTTGAAGGTTTCTGAACGTTTTGGCATACTTCAGAAAAAATGGATGTGTGTGTGTGTGTGTGTGTGTGTGTGTGTATGTATGTATGGATACAAATTTTCGTCCACGTTTTCGGGCGTACGGATCAACCGATTTGAATGGTTTAAAAAACATTCGATTCCTATTGATAGGGAAAAGAGCTGATTAGTTTTTGGCGAAGGCAGGTCCAGCCGTTTCGGAGATACGGAGCAAAGAGTGCAGAAAATAGAAATCGAGTTTTTGAGTGAACGAAGCATCCGATTTGAATGATCTAAAAAACATTCAATTAGTAATGATTGGGAGAAGGGGTTATTAGTTTTTCGCAAAGGCAGGCCCAGCCATTTCGGAGATACAGAGCTAAATGTACAAAAAATTGCAGTTTTTGAGAGAACTAAGCGTCCGATTCAATTGATTCAAAGAACTTTCTGCTTGTCTTAACAAAATAATTGATTTTGGAAAAAAAAAAATTGTTCATTTTTTTTTTTTTTTTTTTTTTTTTTTTTTTTTTTTTTTTTTTTAGTTTTTTTTTTAGTTTTTTATATCGAAAATATTTCAGATTCCATTTTTAATTCTGACTATAGTTCTAATATACTTTACAAATAATTTCAACTCTGCAATACAGTTTATATAATTCTTATAAATATTGACAATGTTACAATATTTAGAATAATCTATTTGAAAACATTCAGTATTCCACGAACATTTCGTTACGGTACGGGAAGTTCCAGCAATTTGCCTTAAGGCACGATGCCATAATTGCCTCAAGATAGAATTCCACTTACAGCTAGTTAATATTTAAAATTAAAAAAATATTACATCTATTTGCTTGAATAAAAATTCAATCCGGGTAATTTTGTTATTCGTTAATTCAATTTTATGCGAATAAATATCCGATGACAATTATTTTCCAGACATTATTAGGTAATAAAGTACAAAACCTACGCACGACCTATATTTTAATGCCAATACTTCAGTTATTTACAAATTTAGCAAATAAGTATCACTCGAGAATACAAAAATACTTTCCATAAACTCATCATGTTCGCGGATATATTATAATAATTTATTCAAACTGAATATTTTTGATTTTATAACAAGTTTGTATATAATACAATAAAATAATCACAACGATTACCATAAAATACAAAAAAAGATTCAAGGTCGATTTCAGTTTTACATTTTTTACAAAATCAAGTTTAAAAATTAAGCGTTAAACTTTATAATGTCAAAGATGTAACTTTATGTGTTTACAATTATCGTTTATGTGCCGAAGCTCATAAATAATAATGGAATAATAAATTAATTTTTATTTATGATATTGTAGGAAATAGAAATAGAAAATCAAAGTATTTTTATTATTACCCCCGGCATAATCAAAATAAAACAAAACCTACAATAACAAATCATTAATAAGGAGCCAAACTAGGATCCAAAACATACAAAAGACAATTTTATTAACTGGATAGGTGATTGCCTAAAAAATTTCATATATATATATATATATATATATAATATATATATTATATTTACTTCAAAGTTTTTATTTTCGTTGAGTATTCTTTATTTCGATATAGTGCCAAGGTTTACGACATAATTTTAAAGATTTTCAATATACTTTCACTAGGTCATGAATTCTCATTCGTTTTTATACTCATTTCAATACTATAAAGATTAAAGATAATAAGATTTACAGATAAGTTTTTATTTTGCTCAAAGACAAGATGTGTAAACCAGATAAAACACCTACAAATTTTAAACAAATTCTATGCAGTTTTTTTTTAACGAAAATGCCAATAAACGTAAAATAAATTAACATGTTTGAAAACATTCACGCATTTTTCAAGGATGACCATTTGATTTATCAATGTTATTTCCAGAATCAAGTTTTTCGTGATATAAAATCAGAGAGACCTCACATAATATTCTGATAATATATGTAAAATTAGAAGCACGTTGACGATTTTATTTTGGCAGTATAAAATTAGTCTCTGTCGTAGTTTAATAAATACTTAATAAATTTGAATCTCTAATTAGTGCCAGATCTTATAGAGAATTTTCTGTAGAATCTGTAATAACTTTCGACACCAGGAAAAATTTATCTATACTTTGTAAATTATTTTTCAAATGTGTATTTTCTGTGATTCGATATTTCTTGTTAAGAACTCCCAGTTACTAGCGGCACAAATTGATTATAAATAAAAGCATTACTTTAACTGAATATTAATTATTTTTTGCTATGGGAAATATCTATGGTGAACTAATACCTATGGGTATATCCACATTTGAACTTTTGCGGCCGTTGATAATCCTTATTGCTTTATTAGATTCTTAGATGCCAGTTGAAATATCCATCATTAATGAGGTAAATTTGCATAACGAATGTTGTTTATTAGGCAGGCTTTAGGTTTTGCACACTAGGTAATAATAATAAAGCAAATTTATTATAACTATTTTTTATATCTTCTTTTTGTCCTCAATACAGAAGTTTTCTTCTGTATAGCCAACGCTTTTTTCTCAAGTTCTGCTTCTTGGTAAATTATCCAAAAACAAGTAAGTCAAATTTTTATTTGGTGTTTTCGTAGAATATTAGTGTTACTTCTCCTGGTGCATCCTCAAAGATGAATATTGAATCCAGATTAGCTTCAGCATAATTTTATATAAATATTCTTCACAACGAAATTTGTCTTTGAATCCTAATTTTCTAATTTAGTTTCCTCCTATTACGCCCCTTATTTAATTTTCTCCGAATGTGTCGTAGTAAAATAAAACCACATTCACTAATTTATTCCACGTACATTTAATACAAATTGATGATTATTCAATTACCATTTGCGATATTAATAAAACGACAATAATTAGCACTTTCTATATACCCGAGAAACTCATCAATGACAAGGTTAATGAAAGAACAAATGAGATGAATAAATCGCAATGGAATTTGTAACTGGTTATTTCATAGTATTATGGTTCTATTAAATGCCGGGTTATGCATATAGTAAAAAGAGACATTTTTATACTCAATATTTTACATTAAGAGTTTTTGTAATGTGATAATTACTTGCGTTGATGAGTATTAATTTAATTTTATGCACGCTTATGCAAATATTTGCGAATGGAATCGCTAAATATAAAACTCACTATAAAATAGAAAACTTCAATACTAAATTATATCATTAGAAAGCTTAAATATTCTATTCTTAGATGACAGAAAAATTTATAAGTGCATACAAAAGAAATTCGAATGTCAAAACAATATTTTTAACATATCATAGCAAATGTTGGTCTAATTGAAGTAATGAAGGGAAAGCTGCAAATAAATCGCGAATGCTAAAACATTTGTATATGTATCTGTATGTGATTTATTAACAAAATATGAACATCATCATTGTTAAATAATTATGCGATGTTTTATATAACTTATTAAATTAAATTAACAGGTCAAGAGACTCATTAAATCACACATGTTTTCCTAAATAATATAAGAACAGGCCTCATAGCAAATATTAGGCCTACTAACATTCATAATTAAAACTATACGTTCATCAGAAAATAACAATAATGATAAAAAACACTAAGTTTAAAATTTTATGTAGTTTTGGATTCTAACGATAATATTATATAAGAATAATGCAATTTTAATAATAATATGTTATTAAAAAAAGTTAAAGAAAGAATGTTGAGATATATACGCGAATATTTTCTAAATTGTATAAGTTTGATTTGTGCGCTAAAAACTTCTATGAACTATTTTTACCTGACTTAAAATTTATAACATTATCTAAATATAATGTTTAATTCATGTACATATGACGAACGTTAGTTATGATATTTTTTCTACATCATATTAATCAAATACATTAGCTCAAATACATAAAAAAACTATGCAGCGTAAACTAAAATCTTAGAAATAGTAATATTTACGGATTAAGTATGTAAAAATTATACCGATTTCTAAATAATGTTTATGTACTTTCACAGTATAAAATAACTAAACTATTTATAATTATAGTTATATAAAATAAATACGGATTCATAAAAAAATATATTTAAAGCTATATGGTAACAAATATGTAACTACCCCAACAGCATTAATTAAAATGCTCTTCAACTCAATATTTTTGTTGAAGTCGGATTATAAATCAACAAATAATTGGTTGGTAAATATTTATATAAAAACCGTTAACTAAATACTTAAATAAATAAAATGCCATAAACAAACAAGCCAATATCAATCCTCATCTCACCAAATTCATGGCGACATTACACACTAATCGAAATAATTCACTCGAAAACCAGCTTCAACATAGTTTAAGTAACAATCTATACTTCAATATCTTTGGATTTAAGTACGTATCTAATAACTTACCAAAGCAATTATAATCTCAAAGTAAACTCTTCTATTTGTATCTTACATTCTAATTAGACAGTGGGTACTATGTGAGGTTCCAGAGCCTCCGATGAGGCAGTCGTCAAAGGCGTGACAAGCGGAGCCGATTCGTCGTCTGAGGCCAAATCGTGCGACCTGTCGCGCCTTGATTGAACAACTAACGTTAAGGTAGCTGGCCGTCCGTGGTGCGAATTTCCTATTTTATCCTCGGAAAACTGAAATAGAGGAAAGGAAATAAAAATCAGAAAATTGATAGAAATGATAAAATATACGTGAATGCATTGCAATATTGTATAAAATCTATTTTTGACCAGGAAGATTATGGACTAACTAATTTTCACTCACATCGCCCGACAATTTTACAATTTGACGTTGACATCTTTATTAACAAAGTCTAATAAATTTTATAATACATTGTAGCGTAAATTAAAAACATTTTTAAGCAAAATCGTTCTAAAATTCTTACGATTCAGCCTTCATTCAGTAGAACAATAAATTTGCTTATCAAAAATAAAGAAATTAAATTATTAATGAGAATATGGTTTAAGACTACTCTAAGTTATACATTTTTTACTTAATTATCTAATAAAATTTTACTAAATTATCTAATAAAGTTACCAAATAAATTTTTTCTTATATTATCGTCGCAATTAGTATGTTAAACATGTTGATATACTTAAATAATTAGATACTCTATATATAAAAATATATCAAATTTCATAGAAATGATAACTTTCTTTTATCAAATTCGTTTACTGACATAAAAAAAATTATATAACCTAAACTCAACATCTGAGAATTTTTTTCATGATATATAGAAAAATACAACTTTTCTTAAATTAAGCGTTTATTTTATACGATAAAGTGATGGAATTTCTTAAATTTTCGGGAGTTCCAAAATCTTTAAGTGTTCCAAATAGTATCTGTAAAAAAGTAACTTATCTCATGACTAATAATATATCAAAATCGATTTCCTACACTTATCAAAATTTATAGCTAATTAAATTTATCAACGCGATAAAAACCGGCAGATTACAAACGATTATTTTTTATTGAAACAAAATTATATAGTTTATTGACGTCAAAACACGTTCCGAATGACGCGTGTGATTATGATAAAATATTAATAATTTGATGTAATCTATGATTTAATATTATACGAAATTTAAATATCAAAAATCATACTTCGCCATTAGTAGTTTTGGACTCGTAAGAGACGTGTTTTCCTGGTCCGATCTTTAGGCTTCCGGAATGTTTTAAAATTGAGAGTTCTCTCTTAATATTTGGAGGTGTACTGGGAGCTGATCTTCCTCCATTTGACACAGGCACGGCATAAGTCTCATCTGTAAAGGAAAAATAATATATGTAAATAATAAGTTCAAAATTAATTAAGTTTTAGTATGTTAAATAAAGAAAAACAGTGACGTATTAAAAGTTAACCAGGCAAAAGAAAAAAATTCTGATTCTTATTATTATAGTGATATTTACTTGGCAAACATAGTTTATAACTAAAAAGCACTAAATAGTATTTTATCCACTAAAACCACTTATTTTATTTAAGAAATATACCCAAAAGTCCTCCACTGTTATAACAAACAAAACTCACCACAACCAAGTGAAAGCAAATCTTATGCAAACAGTCATTCGTTTTATATTAAAGATAGCATGAGTAAATAAATAAGTATACAACCACCATTATAACCAGAAAATTATAGATATAAATAGACTTTTACATTATTAGTTTATAAACATTAGAAAAATCTAGTCTAGAAGTAAAAGAATAAATAAAACATCAAAAAATTATATAGATTTATTTGAGATTTTGTTTTTAACATTGAGACAATACTTTGACAGATTTCTAAATATATATAAGTACAATACAAGTTACAGCGATTTAAAACTAAATCACAAAAAGAAGTATAAATGTAAGTACAATTTAAGATACAAAGTATGAAAGGATTTATAAGTCGATTGCCATTCATATAAGCAAACAAAATGTGCACCAAACTTCAGATATAAAGTTATAAGCAATAGCATAATTTGAAATTTAATTTCCATGCAATAAGATTCAATTATTTTTATTTACTAATTGACAAATTTTAGTTATTTATTGACTTTTTTACGTAACTAAGAATATGCCAGAAACATGAGATTATTAATTATATAACATTTTACGTATTAAAATCTAGCTGTCTAACAAAATCTAACAAATTCAACTAAAACTTAGAAAACTTATTTGTTGTACGAATTTTTAAAATATTCTGCCGCATTTATTTATGAAAAAAAATCATCTATAAATGAACAATCCAATTTGAATAAAAACGAAGATGAACGCAAATTTAAGATTTGATACATAGTCGCAAAATTGTTAATTCGAACAAATTTTAATGGCATACAATTATTTACTTTGGCATAGCTAGATTTAATTCATTGCAGATTTTCTTTAATATATATTTGGAAGACATACGTACATTTATAACTTTATACTGATATAAAAACAAATAGATCTTATTTTTGTTCAAACTTTAAAATACTGCCTAAGATGCAATGTAAAATATACAAAATAACTATTTATCATAAATAAGGTTTAAATAAATGCAATATTATTTAGACATTTCGGTGGTCAATAATCACAAATATTAATTAATACAGAACCTACTTTAAAAATATAATCATATTCATAATTAAAAAATCTAAAATTGATATATAAATATACTAGTACCATACTTTAAATAAATTTTCTATAAATGCAAATTTAAAAAAAAAATCACAAAATATATCACGATATACTAATCGATATCAAAAATGCAATAATAGAGATAACTACGGACAATCACATTTGACTTAAAATATAGATATAAATAATTGTATGTAGCCTACATACTTTTGCATAATCAAATATATTCATAAAACTACATTAGAGAAATAAAACGTGCATTTAATATACGAAAGTAATGCAAGTACAAGTGTAGCATTAAAATATGAAGCAGTTTTAAAAAGATATCCTATTGAAGCCAAATTTAATATCGCAGATTACTTTGAACAAATTTTCTATCAATTTAATTGACAATAAAATATAATAAAAATACAAATTGATTGCATAATAAATAGTAGTAATAATTTTCGAATGAATTAATTGTCTACTTAAGTACATATTGTAAAAGACTACACATGCTAAATTCGTGTATTAAAACTTTGGCTTACTAGTATAATTACATTGGACAGTATTTATGCCCAATAAAAATATACTAGGGTATCTGAATATTATTCCAATTTGGCTTTATAACTCATTATTATTTTAAACTATATTAATAAGTAAAAATGATAAATATTAAAGCTCATTTATTCACAAAATCACTGCAGCGCACCACAAACTGTGACTCTCTACCAAATCAATCCAAACCGTGAGCAAATAGCAGAAAAATTAAAATAAAACCCAATAAACCAAATAAAATCTAAAAGCAATAATATGAAAAGAAAACAAAATCATCGGTCGACAATGTGTTCGCAGATTTACAAATGTGCGTCATCCGTGAACACATTTAGCGATATCGGCGATGTCAACAGATGAGTGTTGTATCCTGAGTTTTGGTGGCCCGCCACAAACGGATTGACCACCCCTGTTGTCTCACCTGCGTTGCCGGTTCCATTTGTTTTCGGCAAAGAATCGCCGCTGAGGACATCCTCCAATGCTTCCTCGTTAAGAGTTTGCAATGCGCCGCATATTGTTTGCTCTTCTAGGGTCACCTGGAAATTGAAAATTGGAAAATATTAATAAGCAGAATGGAAAAAAAATCTCAAAGTAAAAATATGTATTTGATAGAATAAAGAATTTTCTTATAACGATTGAAATAAAAAAATAGCATAATATGGACCAACGTGCTATGCATGCGCTTTCGGTAATATAACAGACAATCAACCAATGGCCGATTAATTAATAAAAACCGTTTTTTCTTATTAATCCAATTACTAGCTTTCCGATTTTTTAAAAAAAAATTCCAGATATCTAACTTCATAGTTATGTTTTCTGGATGTTTCAAGTCAATTAGAACCTATTTTCCCCAAATTTGAAATAAGTATGTGTATTTGAGCAATAGTGTGACCTTCCGAAAAAAGAGCTGCACCGATTTCAAACATTTATAATCCATTTAATGAAACTCGTTAAAGAAACAAATAAGTTGAACTTAATAAAATTTGCCTTTTGAATAAATGTTTTTTCAAAAATATAATTTTGAAAATTTCGACGGATTGAGTAGAAAATACTCAAATTGAGCAAATGTTGTCTCATGATGTTGCATGCGTTTCTAACCATATAAATATGACTAAAAATCATTCATATTAAAGAAATATTTTAATAACATGCAAGCATAAGGAGTAGAATAGTATATAAGAAGATCGTGCAAAAAGTTTAATCGAAAATCTGTTTAATGGAATTCCTCTAAATCTACTCAGCAAGGCTGAAAATTTTACATTCGAAGCTGGAAATGCTAAAAATTTGGAATATATCACATAAGAAAGGTGCTAGCAATATTTAATAAAAAATGCAATCTATCACAAACCTACTTTTTGATCAAAATATACCACATGCCAAAGAAAAAAATCTAATCACTCATTACCAAACTTACTTGATATTCCTGCGGTGTAAACTGATAGCAAAAGTAGAAAGTGATAATTAAAAAGCTTCTTGTGTTCAAAACATTTTTGCATAATGTTATTAAATGCAGAAGTACATTTTGTGTGTTTAAATGTTAGCAAAAATCTAATTGTAATGATAAAATTGGTTGCCTGATGAAAATTTTAAGGAGAATTACAATTACAATTTTCTCTGAATATTTCAATTTTGAAATAATTTAAATGTTAACTATTCAACAAGTCACCAATTGTATTATTTAGAAATTTCTTCAAATAAACGCATGTGCATAATTTTGTGAATGCTGTTCTATAATGTCTTCAGTAAATCAATTCATTCATGTGTTGTTTCCTAATACACTACTGTAATTTTTTCTAAATTAAAAACACTAACCTGTTTCTCAATAGTATCAGGCTTGATTCTTGGCGGGACAATGGTATGAGCTATTTCTTCCTCTTCTTGATGGGGTCGTTGATGACAATTCCAAGGAGCTTGTGGGGTCATTTCCATTACACGCAATCCTTCAACAAACATTCGGAAAACTTCCCAATGTCCAAATGTAATGCCTAAAACGCTTTTTAATTCCTGAAAAGCAAACATATAGTAAATTGTTGTGTAGCTTGTCTCAGTTGAGCTGCATTGTTTCTATTACACTTACCTTAAGATCACAGTTTGCTAGTACACGTCCTGTTACACAATTTTGATGTAATTTAGGAGCAACACTCGGTACTAATGGTTTTAATTCATCCACTTGCAACATCAATTTTTCTATATCATCGCAACTCAATGAAGACAAACGGCAAGGAGGAATGTCAATCTGAAAAAAATACAGAATTTTAAAAATAAAACATGTTGGACAAGAATGAAAGAAATAACAATTAAAAATATTCTTGATGTTATAAAATTGCTAATTACCGGTAAATTAAAAGGCGGCTCGTAGTTTCTTGGATCATTTTGCATTGGTCCAGGCCACCATTGTTGCATATTAGGTTGTTGCTGAGGAGCATTAATAATTGGTGGTACCAAAGTCGGTCTGATCATCTGTTGTGGCATCCACGGCATTTGAGGAACATTGGGAATCGGTTGCCAAATACCAGTCGGCGGAGATCGAACATTAGTTACTACCGATTCGTCTTCCATGTTTTGTTGATCCTCTAAAAATTAATCGATGTAAATTTTTGATATTCTACAGTAAAATAATATATAAGCGATATGAGTTTCTTTTTACCTTTAAGTACTTTGCGCAAATATGGATCTAAATTTATTGTAAACGGCATAAAAACTCTCAAATCAGCAACTTGCAAGGTTGTTTTATGCAGAGACAAGAAGGCATCTAATTTGCGCTCATCCCTATCAAGTTCCAATAAAGGCGCCGCTTCTTTCAAAGCTGGTACTTGTGCCCGAACCCTAAAAAGAAACAGTAAGTAAATTTAAATTGATGATCATAATTATATTAAATTAAGTTTTTGATGCTTACTTGTCATATAAACTGTGCAATGAAGAATTATCATCTAATCTATCTCCCATGTTGTCATGATATAAGACTATCAAGCTTGCTCTCAGAGGCCATTGTTCCGTGAGATTTATCCAAGAACATAATCTGTACCAGTTAAAATCAATATGGAATGCTTTTAACAATCGACCTGCAACAAAAACCAAATTATTAGTTTATGAATAATTACCGGAACCTGTTGCTCAATGTATGATATTAGAAAAATGATTACAGACCTGTGATGTATATTACATTCATCAGACGACGCATACTCCTAGGATTAACATCGCTAAAGTAATCGTCCGCCAAAAGCATTTTGGATAAATCCCAATGCGGCTGAGTAGAACTACCAGCACCACCTGCAGTTCCAACGCGATGCAAATTAGAACCTATGGAACTTGCAATAGAATCTGAAAGACGTAGTTTACGAGATCCTCTTGGCGGTCGAAGTTTTTCTTGAGATGCCATTAGTTCTGAAGCCGAAGATAGACGACGATTGGATACCTATAAAATTACACATAAATAAATTATGATCCTAATTATAAACTAAATCCAAACAAAATCTGAATAAAACAATAGTACTAACCGATCCAGTTAACATTTCACCATCATCTTCTTTATTCCTGCTTCGATGTACCAAAGCAGTACTTTGGGCGCGTTGAGCTTGACGCAAGCCAGAGTTTTGTAAGTAAACTGGCAAATGCACTAAATTTCGTAAGAAATCGTGACCTCCTATACTGCCTTCGCTGAAAACACGCCTGCTCTTGGATTCGACTGCCTGAAATTAAAAATATATTGCAAGTGTTCATTTTAACTTTAAGGTTCAATAATAATACTATTTATGGTGCTAATTATCAAATATACCTTTGAAATAATATGCGGATCCACTGCTAAGAGTACTATGAACGGTCTCTTAGGTTCCGATAACAGTTGATGTACAGAATTCAACATAGCAATTATTTTCTCAACATCACAACTGTCCAAAGCATCTATGATACCAACTAGTCTGCTCTGTTGATTCGTAAAAGCATCCAAACACGTAACCAGATCACTCATAAGTGCAACTTCGTTAGCTAGTCCAGTAATTGGATCGCTGTTATTCTTAATTGCATTCTGCAGATGGTGTTTAGGGCCAAAGATCAATGAAACAGCGGCTCTTCCTAGTGATTGAATATTAGCCGTCAAAATAACAGCCAACCCAAGTCCGAGAGCCATAAGTACAACTGTTAAGTTAGAATCACTTATCGATTGATTTGCATCCAGCAAGCAGTATAATCCAAGACTTGCGGTCGCTATAAAAGCAAGCAGAGTGACTTCAAACAATAAGATATTAGGAAAACAACAAAAACGACGAAATCGCCAGCCAGAGTTGGATTTAAAAGGTCGTGGTCGAAATGCTCGGAATAAGCGCGTTGAAATAAGACCATAATCGCGTTCTATCACTTCAAATAAAGATGTTAACATGTGTACCATGGCTCCTTCGCCGTCTGCGCCTGCGCCCTGAAAACATAAAAAATATTAGAATAATTTATATCAATCATAATGAAGAATAATATTATCGTACTTTGTTTTGATCTGCAAAGTAAAAATGTACTGGGTCAGCCGATGGTGCTGACGATGCTCTTGGTCCAGGTGGGTGACAGAATAACACTTGCAGTAACAATTTCAAAGAATTCAAACGTCGATTTATTGACACGTTCAGATTGTAGGGCCAATAGCAATCATATCTACAAATTAAAGAAAAATTTAAATCAAGAGAAAATTTCGATACGATTTTTTAAAAATCTTTGAAGAGCAAAATAGAAGTACTATTTATTTCATAGTTATTACCTATTGCTGGCAACTCTGAGCGATAAATAAGCGCTAAGTAACACTCCAACAGTAATCAATCCAGCAGCAAGTCCCCATATCCAAGAAAATGTACCCAATCCAGTAGCAAGACCAACTAACAATGCGAGGTGAGCGCAAAGCCATACTGCTAACCAAGGAGCACCAGCAACTGGTTCACACCATTGACGTGCAAAACTCTTCATTTCCTCTAAAAATTGAATTAAACTAATTTTCATTTAGAGAAATAACAGATAAAGCAAATTATTAATTAAAGTCTTCTATATACTCAATGTATATAAAGTTTTATAGGATAGGCTAAATTTTGTTATTCTTTAGTTTTTTAAATTTTTTTGTTTAAATAAAAACTTCTCCCCTTTATATAAATTTTACCTTTAAGTTTGGAAAGCAGAAATGATTTTCCAGAACCCCATTTAGCATATAATCCAACTGTGATAGGCATAGTAAGCCCTGGATCGCTTAAAATATCTGCAAGAGCACTGCTATATAATTCATATCCAAGCATTCCCTCACAATCCTCATTTGTATTGAGTCTTCCTGAAAACGGAAATATCAATTTAATATAGCTTAATTAATTATTATTAATTAAATGATTAATAAACATACTGGCTCCATAAATTTGTCCTAAAATTGTTTTTGGATGATGCATATCAATGTTATATGCAGTTTCTCCAGCTTTATTTGGTCTGTATAGCAACTGACTATGCTTAGGATTTCTAAGCAACACTTCCACTATCGCCTAAAAAAAATTGGAACATAGTAACCAATAGTTATTAAGTTTATTATCAACATATTCTAATCGAAATACTTTAGATCTCGCTCTCATTGCAATGTGAAGACATGTATCTCCCTTGAAGTCTACAGCATTAATTTTAGCTTTTTTATCTAATAGCAATGTTACAATTTCTACATTTCTAGTTCTCACAGCTCTTAAAAGTGCGGTGTCCCCATCCTAAAAAAAAAAAAAATAGAAAAATCTAAAATATAAAGTTTAAAAAAAATTCTAAATTTTATGTTATGACATATTTCAAATACATACCTTAGTTTGTATCTCAAGATCAGGATTAGCAGCCAACAAGAGCCGTACTATTGCAGTATGACCCTTTTCTACCGCTGTATATATGGCAGTTTTTCTATCCCGACCAGGAACATCTAGATCAGCATGTCGTTTCAAGAGCGATTCCACAATACCACGATGGCCGCCTTTTACTGCATGAATCAATTGACTATCACCGGTCCTGTCCTAAAATATAATATAAATCATTCGTTAAATTTGTTACAGTTACAATTATATATAATTTAACTTTACCTGCAAGTTAACATAAGCACCAGCATTTACTAACATATGAGCAATTTCTGCTAAGCCTTCCCGGCAGGCAATGGCAAGTGCTGTGGCTCCATCCGAGTCTAATGCATTCACATTTGGTTTATGTTGAAGTAAACGTGAAACAACTTCTTGATGCCTATTTTGAACAGCCACTAACAATGGCGTCCAGGAATACATTCCGGAAGAATCAACACTAGCACCCGCCTAAGAGAAAGGGGAAAGATTTTAATGGTTAATTCTCTAGACACCAGTTTGAATTTAAAATACATAATATTACACATTTATATATTTGCTTAATATTATGGTTGCATTATGTTATACAAGAAGTCATTGCAAAAATATATATTGTTTACCTTCAGAAGTATATCCACAATTTCTAAGCACCCACGTCTGCAAGCCCATACTAATGCTGTGGTTCCGTACTAAAATAAATAAATATGAATATTAATTTCATAAGTTTGAAAAAGTAAATATAATATATGAAGGATCATGATTATATTATGTTATACATACTTTATCAGCCACATTAACTTTGGCACCTCGTTCAACAAGTAATCTGACGACTTCAGTGTGCCCCCTTCCTGCGGCCCAAAGCAATGCACTTAAGTTGTATCCACCTCTTGCTTGCACGTCTGCTCCTGCGTCTAATAAAATGCGAACACATTCTGTATGCCCCCTATAAAAATAAAAATTATAATGAAGCTTTCAAAGTCAAACTAAATATATTAAACGTTTGTTGTTAACATATATCAACTCTATTACTATTTTTAGATTCCATTCCTCCTACCTGTATGAAGCCCACAACAATGGTGTCCAACCACCCATGTCTCGGTGTTCCTTTGGCGCCCCATGCTCAATTAGGGCCCGCAGCGGCGCGGCGTGACCGTTGCGGGCCGCAAAGTGCATCGCCGTCCAGGAATCATGATCTTCGGCTGCGGCATCTGCTCCAAGAGATAAAAGCTCGCGACAGAAAGGCGATGAACCCCTCGAGGCTGCCAACATGAGAATGGTGGTTCCATTCTGAAAAATAAAAATATATCAAGGTAAATAATAGAAATATATAGATATTGTAAATTTTATCATTACCTCGTCCCTGTCATCTACTTGATGTTGTCTACTGGATAAAAAATCTCGTAGTGCCTGAGCATCTCCGGCATCCAGGTACGAAAGAAGTGTCCTATGACCCAACGAACACATCAGGTCCGAACGGTCGATGGCCTAGATTAAATTAGAGGCTATTACACACAAACTTTAAAAATGCATTAGTTCTGTTAAATAAAAAAGCACATATATTGACCATGGTAAATTCAGTAAAATTTCCACAGTATTTTAAACACGATTAGAATCAAATCGCATTCGATATAATTGTCAATATTTTTATTGGAATTTATAAAATATTACAAACATAGGCATATGCATTATCATTGGCATATTATATTTGAGATGTGTTAAAAAAAACAAGATTTTGTTCAAAACATGAATCAAGGATTAATTTTCAAAAGCAGTAACAATTTTAAGATTAAAAAATAAGTTTTAGTTATACAAAATCAATCTATTTTTCAAATAATCTATTATTCATTCTCACACCCAAAAACTTGCCGAGCAATCCGCAATATTCCGCAAAGCAAGCTGGTAATGTTCAATGCACATGACACAATCATACAGTCCGTTAGTACAAATTCACAAATAAAAACAATATGATTTTTAGTTTTTTTTGGTTTTTACCCACTTTTGTAAGTTTCAGTACGTACAACATCTGAAACCATAACCGTTTAAAACGAGATCAAATGAGAATGAAACGCACGAAATTTAAAACGAGATATACAAAATTCAGCAGTCTTCGTTGCCAGGAATTCTCACAAATCATTTAAATAGTACTAAAATTAAATACAATTTTATGTTGCAAACTGATACGTTTAGAGGAAAATGATTATTGGATTAGTTTTCTGTTATGACGTTTGGCAAATATGTAGCAATCGAACGAATTATACGAGCGTATATTAATAAAAACGCGCAGAGATTTCAAAACGTTTTACTGAAGTTGGAAATATTCATTAATTGGAAATAATAAATTATATTAAAAAACATTAACTCTATTACCACCACCTCCTTCACTCAATTATGCTATATTAAGCAATCATAAAAATAGTATTTTTGAAGAATCTTCAATGAATTTTTAAGATTTTAGGTCATCTAAATCCTACATTACGATATGCTTGATACATCACGAAGAAGATGATTATAACAAAAACAATAGAAATAAATATTTTTATTGATGTCACCATCTGCTTATAGAAGAAGGAACTTATAAATGTACATTTTGTAATAATTTATAGTTCCCCACATCAAGTATATGTTCCTGAATAATGGGACCAAGAGAAACAAATTTAAAATGCAACCAAAGCTTGAAACATTACTTTTTCAATAATTTCTGATTGCATACTAAGTGTGACTTTGGCAAACGCTGGTTGTAACTTATGCTAATAAAATATAATATGATTGGTTTATACTTAACCCTTGTTTAATTTTGATCAAAAAGATAAACGGCACAAATATTTGGTACATAAAATTTATAAATATATTCCCAGTTGTTAAAGCGATTGTGTTAATACATTTCGTATGCAAACCTGGTTAGTTCAATATTATGGTTTGTCCAGACAAATAGTTATTTCCACTCAGAACAAAGCGATCGTAACTTCCAAATAATAGGCCACAATGCTATAATCGCACTTAGAATACGATTCCATTTGAAACACGATTGTTTTTACTCAAATAAACTTCAATAAAAACACTTCAAAAAGTTGAACAAGAGAAGCACTAGATACGTAAATGCTGTTGCTCTTAAAGCAATGCCCCGACGTTGGGCTTCCTTTCTCTCGCGCCAAATTACCTTTTAGAAATACTTGGCAAGGCTGTTATTGTTTTAATCTAAAAAGGAATGTGTTAAATAGGTTGCTGCATACTACTGCATCCATTCAATAGAATAAAAAGATCAGAACCACGGAAAACATTAAGAACAAATTTAAAAATTCATTAATCAAATAGCACAAAGTTAAATTAGTATTAAATTTACGTTGTTGCTGAGAGTTGCCATAATCAAGATCACTCATTCTTCGACATGTTCGTAACATTTGTATACAAACAATTGAAAACGTTTGTCTATATGTTTTAGAAACGAGAATAATTTCAGCGCTTTATTACTAAGTAGTAAATTTTCCAAGTGTATTTGTAATTAATTGTGGCCATGCATAACAACAAACTTAGTCACACTGAATCAGATCTTAAACAATCTGATGAAAACATAGTAAGTCAAAAAACAAAAGATATTTGCTAATAAGAGCCTTGTTGTATTGTAGATTCAAATTTAATGATATAAAAAAACTTTTCAATCAAGGCAAACAGAGTTTTGTACAATTGAAAATGAATCAAACGCTATAAGTACATTCTTTATATTTTTTACATCAATTAGGAGTGGATAAAAAGCATTATTAATGCACGTTTTCATTATGCTATATATATAGAAAAAACTGAAAATATAATGTGAATCAATAAAAACAAGTAAATTTCATTTCTTTAGAAGAAATAACCTGTCGAGTTACTAAAGTTGTAAAACCGTTGGATTCATGTTTTTGAAAAAAAAAAATTGAGAATGATCCTAATGTAAGGTAACTAACTAATCAAGTTTGACAATTCTGGCAAGCAAAAATATTTTAAAAGCACTTCAAAAACATACCTGTTGAATAAACGTTGCTGCCAAAAATAATACTTTTTTACTTCTAGTGCTGAGTTAAAAATTATCTCACTGACAAATAGACTACATAAATTTTAAATATTGGTTTATTTTAGACAATACGTGTATTAAAAAAATAATGAGTGAAAAAATATTTTGATGATCCAAGTATAGAAGACTTCGTAGATATACATACTAAAATACAAGATAATATATTTTCGCCGGAACAATATTTTTTTTGACTGGTGTGAAATAAAAACAAGAGTTAAAACAAATGCTTAAAAATATTGTTAACTCTTCAAATATATAAATAAAGCATTAACTTCTTAATTGTAAAAATTTCGCATATGCATCACCAAAAACATAGAAGTAAATACAAAATTAGGTACGCATGTTATTCAAGCAGCAGTAGCTGCTCGTCAACATCGAAGATCAGGCGACAATTTTTCAATTTTTCAAAAATAACAGAAAACTTGCATGAGTCTAAAAAAATATTTGTGTAAAATTTTATTATTAACATTATTTTAGCATTTGGAATGTAAAAGGTGTCGTTGGACACGACTTTGGTACAAAAACAAGTTTTCCAGAAAAAATCTCATGCAAGTTTTCCATACAAAAGTATTCGAATATAAACAAAACAAACAAAACAAAAAAAAAAAACATAAAACAAAAAAAAAAACAAACAAAACAATAACCAAACGCACACAGCGAAAAAAACCAACGTGCTATCAAATCAAATAGCTAATTCATCGAACCGCGCTCTGCCTTCTTAGGCCGAACGAAAAACGCCTATTCTGCGCATCGCTGGCTGGTGCCGTAAACCGTCAAGGGCGGGAACCTGGTGCCCCTTTCTGGTATCTCAAGACGCAGAGGCCTATAAACCTGAGTCGGTTGTGGAAGTGCAGGCAATTGGGCAACACTGGCGTTCCTGGACGTGCCACATTGCGTGTCGGGCCGTGCAGACCACGAACAAGAGCCCGAACGTGATCAAATTGCTCTTCTTTGGGCACCAGACGGCATAGTAAAACTGATGATTTATGGGCAATATTTGTGTATAACAGATGTAGAAAAATACTGGGACGCTGATGTTATGCAATGATTGTTTAAATGAAGTATTTTAGAAAACGCATAGGATACTCGATTCAAAGACAATTTCATTTCAAATCGTTAGTCTCAAAAAAATCACTATAAGATAGGAACTAAATTAAGAGAATTATTTATATACGTTTAAATCAATTATATCACCTTTAACAAGTTTAAGGTTTTGCTAATTCTACTTTAATCGATTCGCAGTGTTAACGATTCTATATATTTAATATTACACTTTGGTTTTCAATTTTTATTTGACTAATTGAACCAAAAAGGATTAGTTGGAAAATATTTCAATGGAAAAAAATTCATAAGGCATAAATTTTCGTAATCCACATAAATAAAATTACATATTAATTCACCATAATATTTAATATACAAATAGCATATTTAATCTCATCAACTTTTATCTCTGGCTATATTTTTTACACTAAATTCTTTTATTCTACATAAAATACAAAACAAACTGAACTTACTTGATTTTATAACAATAATCTTATACGAAGCATACGTGCTTCCTAATCGGTCAATTTATAGAAATAATCAGCAGAAATACACTTCTCAATTGATCTTAATTATCAACTGATATGAATATATATTTTTCTTGCATATTTTCCATCAGACCTACTGTTTATTAAAAATTGCAAATAAAATTTAGTATCAGTAGTATAATAACTACAAATCAAATATAATATCGAAGGGGTAGCAAAATTTTTAGAATTATTGCTATACGTTAAAAATTATTGATTTAAGCCAGTAACAGCGATCAGAATTACGTGCTCTATGTTGCAGCAATGTCCACAAAAGGCAATTTTCACTTGATATTATATTTGAAATCTATAACCTCAAGTGAAAATTTGACATCATACTGCTTGATATCGAGCTTGTCGAAGTTGGGATCAAACCCAGGACTAGTTTGTGCTAGCCCACGTTCTTAACCATTACACCATTCTGGTTCCGGTAAACGTTATAAATGATACAGATTCTGGTTATAATTAAAATTATAATCAGTAGAAGAAAACCATGAGAACTATCGATAGTTGTGTATAGTTCCCCTTTGGCGCAAATATTTGATATATAATTCTCGGAATAAAAATTTACTGACATTTATAACAATAAACATTCAACTTAATCATCATTCATGATAATACTATCCAAATATAGTGACATAGTATATAAAGTATTCATATATAATACGATAGCTTGAGAACGTTTACGATCACATGGTTATTATATTGATCAAACTGTTTGGCAATAAAGCACGTTTTTAATTTAGTTACATTACAGATTATGTCACAATGGCTTCGAAATGATTCTCAAACACGAGCTGGACAATTGGAATCAATTAAAATACCAAAGAAATAAAAATATACTGGAATGAAATTATGTTGAGAACGAC